ATGTTCCTTTTGGTTGTGTCAAAGTGTTTATCCGTTGGAGAAATTCGTCCCAATGAATCGGTTTTTCGCATTTTGGATGTTGAATTTTATTCGCTTACTAACGAAGCGTGGGACTATTCGACCAGTCATACGTACGATGAGAAAGGAATTTCGATGTCACAATACGATCAGGCGTCACAACAACAGTATTATGATCATCCTTGCAATCAACTGAAAAAATTTCTTTCGAATGGACATTTTTATTTTTCTTCGAACTTCGATTTGACTAGATCATTGAATGTCAGGTATTGTTTCTAGCTTGAGAGAAAATTTCGTACTTTCAAAGGTCGTATGCAACAATTCACCCGTTTGAGTCTTATCAGAACTATGCAGTCCTCGGCAGACAAATACACTTTTGACGATTATTTTCTGTGGAATAAATTCATGATCAAAGAATTATTGAACTTTCGATCAAAACTTAGCAAATCGGAGCGGAAAGAGATGGATGGTGGCGGTTTTTTGGTAACGATTTCGAATTCTGCATTAATGCAGAAAGCAATCTGCTATTTAACACGTTCTACTGTGTGAACAGGTGCTTGCCATTCACGGGTATGTTGGAAGCCAGCGTGCAACTCTCGGACCCGAAGAAGTTACAATTTCGGTGATATCGAAATTAAGTTGCAAGCGTGCTGGTAGGTACTCCGCGCGCGATATTGAATTTGACAATGTTCGATACGCGTCAATAAGCATTTTGATCCTCTTCTAAGGTACACGATACAATACACGTGGGGTCGATGACGATGGAAACGTGGCGAACTTTGTTGAGGTACATCAATCGCCAACATCCTTCTAACTTTATCGATTGGTTTTTTTAAGATAAAAGAATTTAAAGTGAATGACCCATTTCTTTATTTTAGACGGAAACAATTTTGCAAATGGGGACAACGTGTTATTCATATGTACAAATTCGAGGCAGTGTGCCAGGTATTTCTAAAAATATAAAATTATAATTTGAATTTTTTTTTTTTCTCATTTTCCTAAGGTTATTTTTTTTTTTGTGTTCAAACTATGCAGTGTTCTGGGAACAACAAGTTAGTCATATCATACATTTTTTTCTATTATATGCACATAATTAATCTTTCA